GCACACGGCGGGTGTGACCGGTTGGCAGGGGATGCTCATTCCTCCATGGCACCTGATCCTACCTCTGATGTCTTAGAGGTCCATGTTTGCTCTGCTCCTATTTTGTAATGTTTTAATGGACTTTTGAGCTCGAATACTGTTCGCTATCTCCATATATTTCATTGCAAATGACTTTTTGTGAATTTTCTGATTCATGTATTTTTAGCTTACATGAGCTGAAGGCTCAAGTGAGCTTTTCTGATTGAAATTTGTCCGTTGTCTGGTATTGTCGTCGATGTTGTTAATTTTTCACAATTTCATCCACTTCTCTAGAACCTCTGTTTTTATTATTCTTAAATTTTCCTTATGTGATATTTAAATGCTTATGATGTTGTTATTAACACATTTCAGAGCCAAAATATAAAATCTTACAACAGACCTAATTGTGTTCCTGTTTTTATACCTATACTGTTTTTGATTGTAAAATGAGAAGTTTCTTAAACCATGATAAAGAATATATCTCTGTGAAGAAGATTCGAATACCAAAAATTTGTATATACATGTAGCATTTATTCCAAAAAGGAAACATGAATTGTTCTGCTGAAATCAAAACGATCAAAATTGATGCGATTTTCAAAATATGTACTCCTGCATAACATTCAAACTTTTAGCACAATTAAAATTATGAGCCTTTACAAAATTGTAAAAATCATGTACCTAGCCTTCAGATATATAAGGCTAAGATTGTCATGTATTGAAAACCTTTTTTATTTCTTTTTCTCAACAGTAGGCAATGTTTGCATGATTAAAATACAGTGAAGGTAGCCTCTTACAAAAATTCTAAACTTTTGACCACTGATGCATGTAACAGGCTCCAGGGTGGGTCTATTTTGGTCATATTTTGAAATGTTTATTATACGATGTATATCACCTAAACTTCTAGAAGAAAGCTTATAATGTTACATAGTTCTCATTAGACTATATAATTGTTATCACAGAATACAGAGTTTCAGTTCAAAGTAGGCCCAATATGGCCATTGCAAGAGAAACTCATAACTCCCCAAACCCTCTTTCTATAGTATTGTAATGATGCAAACTAAGACACAATTGTGTTTATTTTATCCTCTAATAAATGCTTCAATTTTTAGTGACATATTATCTTAAACTTCAATTTATAACATATACATACTAACAAAGCCACAAATTCTAAAGGAATTTATTGTAAAAGGCCATCTTTAAACCCTAAGGATCAGGGAACTTCTCCCTGATCCAACGCACACAGCAGCTGGGAATAACTGTTCAGCCCCCCACTTGGAGTTTTCCACGATGCCAACGAACAAATTGTTTATATTCAGTATGCCTGTGTGCTCTGTTTCTGTCTTCATCCTCCGGCATGGCCAATATATCCTGTCGATATAGTCTAGCAAAGCTTAAGACAAGGACTGCCTCATCTAACATCAGAATACTGAAATCCTGAAAAAAAAACATTGTAACAAGAAACCAAGCCACAACCCTCACCTGAGTAACTTTGGTCCTGCTGTTCTTCGCCAGATTTACCCCTTGTCATACTTATTTAACCCACCCCAGCCCCCAGGGGCCATAATCTACATGATCTAGAATTTACACTACCTCAGCAAGCTTCGAAATAAAATTAAGCTTTTCTGGTCCAGTGGTTCCTCAGAAGAAGATTTTTGAAGATTTTTCCTATATATTTCAATGTAAAAAATTGATTTTTTATTGTGGCCCCATCCTTCCCCTGGGGATTTTGATTTGTACAATTTTGAATCTACACTACTCAAGGATGCTTTCATATAATTTTCAGATTTTCTGGCTGTAAATCTTTGATTCCCTTTTGTGGCCCCATCCTAACCCCAGGGGTCAAGATTTGAATAATTTAGAATATACACTAGCACAGCATGCTTCCACATAAGTTTCACTTTTCTGGACTAGTGGTTCTTGAGAGGAAGACATTTAAAGGACCCCACCCTATTTTTGCCTTTTCTTGATTATTTCCCCTTGTGAAGGGACATGGCCCTTACTTTTAACATTTTTTAAAACTCCTCTTCACCCATGGATGCTTTGTACCAATTCTGGTTAAAAATTTCCCAGTGGTTCTTGAGAAGAAGTTGAATATGTGAAAAGTTTGCCTAGAGACGGACGGACAATAGGTAATCAGAAAAGCTCACTTGAGCTCTCAGCTCAGGTGAGCTATAAATGTCAATAAACAATGGGTTTAAAATAAGACCCAATAATCCATTATTTCATACTGATAATTAACTTACAGGAAGTCTGAAAATCCAACTGTTTTCACATTTCTGACGACACATTTCTGCTAAGGTTTATCCGTGCGTCTGTCCGTACCATACATAACAAATTTTGGTCGCAGTTTTCTCAGCAACTACCGATTGCAGATGCTTGAAATTTTAGCACATTCTTTGTTAACCCATGAATCCGATGTCAACTTCCTGTTTATCTGTGCGTCTGTCCGTACCATACATAACAAATTTCAGCAACTACTGATTGCAGATGCTTGAAATTTTAGCACGCTCTTTGTTTAGGCATGTCATATGGTGGGATTCATTTTTGTTCGAATCCGTGTCAACTTCCTTATCCGTGCGTCTGTCCATACCATACAGAACAAATTTTGGTTACAAGGTTAGCTTTTTAAAAAGCTTAGAAAGTCAGACAGTGGCATATTATTTCATGCTTTTTGACGAACAAGGGTTTCCTTTTAATACATCAACAAGAATGTAGGTCAGTACCCGTAGAGAAATGGACTTCACTCCCGTAAGGTTCTAAGTAAAGAATCGGCAAATGAAGAAGACATCGTGATCTGTACGTTATCATAGAAGAAATGTAAAACTGTAAACGACTTCGAAACTGTACATAGATTCATTATATGTGGTAAGACCATCATTGCAAGTGATTTTTGTCGGGAGGGGGGGGGGGTATCAGTATCTTGTTTTGCTCTAGCTATAAAGTGTACCAGCCCTTAACTTTGCGTCTTAGAGCAGCATTGAAGTATATTTGTTTCAAAAACTTCAAGACAACTTACCTAGTTAAAACTGTTCACAATTTACTTCGTCGTCAAGAACGACGGAGAACAGACCAATCTATAAATATAAACCGTTTAATTAATCTATCACTGACCAGAGATTGTGTATGAAGAAACTCGTTCTGGTAAGAGAGTAATATGAATTTCTTTAGAACAACTCGTCTAACTATTTTCCCTAGATTTCCAATGCACTTGCAGTTTTATCCCAACGTAACTAGTTAGCCAGTGGGATAACTAATAAATGAGTGAAATGACCAAACAGTGGCATGTCTTAGATATTCGTTAATCCGTTATATTTTGTTATGACATTTGAGAAAGTTAATTGTACATCCTGTATAATGAAGTATCATAAATAAGTCGCTCCTTGATGACGGAAACGTTTAGCACTTCTCTTACTTATACATTCCATAGATATTGATTGATTTAGTCAGGCAAGCTTTTGAAAAGCTATTACTTTTATAAGAGTACAACTTACATACACGATTTTTCCGCGGAAATGTCGGTTTATTGTGCCCCTTCGTGATGCCCCAACACCATTTATGGAGTTTATTATAACGAATCATGTGCAATTCAGGTTGCAATACACCTATATGCAACACATTATACGTATACTTTTCTTAAATTAAAAAATATTCTGGACAAAGCTCATTTACGGATGCATTACTAACTCTGCATGCTCCGATTCCATCTTTCCACATGGGTTTTCTTGCTGTCAATAAAGTCAGGTGACGTTGACATGGGCGATAAAAAAAAGATCCGATTGATAACCTTTGTTTTTCCGACATTGTAAATTGCACTATTTGTTTGCTTTGCAAGGCACTTGATTTCGTCAAATCTTCGTTAAACTTATATTTTTGATAACTCTTTCAATAAGTTATGTAATCGTTTGAAACAAACTATGTAATTCTGACTCAATATGCGTCACGGTGTCACTTTAAAGAGACAACGTGACGCATTAACGAAAAAATTGACTAAAAGAATTTTTGCATGACCCGTGCACATTTTGTTCAATTCCTAAAAGTATAAATTTGAGAAAATTACAAGTTTCATAACCTAAAAATAAAACTTTTAAGGAGAAAAAAAAATTGACGAAAATATTGCTTTACCTCGTTTTCCTTATTGTAAGCCTGTAGAAAGGATGAATAAGTTACCATTGTCTCCAGTCTCAAAAAATGAATGTCGGTAGACCAAGAATTTTAATACAATCTTCAAAATAAACTACCAGAACATAACTCTCACCTTTGCATGCTCAAAATCGGCAATGTTTACGAATTCACACTAAAAATAAAAGTCGTGTGACTTTGATATGAACAATAATAACGATTCGGTATTTTTGGCACTTACATTTTCACCCATTAAGTAACATTTATTAATGTAAATTAATGCATATGAACAAACGCACCTAATTCTACACTTGTGCATAGAAAGATCAGTGTTATATTTATTTATTTACAAGTAATCGACAAACAACTCTCAAAATTAAAAGCATGCATGAATACGTTTGAAAAAAGTTGCGTGTATATGATCAAAGATATTTGCGTCTTTGCCATGAATTGCATCTCATTGAAAGTTAAATGTGCAATTGTTATTACAAAGGAAGCCTCGGTGTATAAATTACAGGTATATATCGAGAATGTTTGATTTCTTTCAGATAATGTAAACGCAACAGAAATTGGAAATTCTTGCCCCTAAAGTTTTTCATCTGGGTCTTTAAGCTTCGTTAATGTAAATAAAATAGTCACTTATTGCACATGAATCTACACCCTTAAAAGTTAACAGTTTAAACATAAAATGTGATAAAAGGGAAATGTTCCCAGAACACTTCAATCCAATATTGTTATTTCTGGAGATTAAAAATGTACAATAACACTGTTTCTGCAAAGTTATTAAATGTATTAAGTATGTAAAACATATATAAACATTATGTAACTTTAACAATTAATTTTGACACTCTCGGTGTAAAGTGTGTTAAGAAAATATCTTTCACAACATATGTAATAAATACCTGTATAAGTAGATAGAACTTGATGACATTTTAAAAGAAATCAGTTACATTGTACAACACTAAAGCATTTTGATTCCAAAATAAGATCTTTAAAATTAAATTAAACTTTTTTTCTTCCTTAAGAAAATGTTAAAAATGATTATATCTAATATACATAAATTGACAAATGAAACAATGTTAGATTATAACATAATAAAAATATTGGTGTTTTTGTGTCGCGTCTTGTCTAATAGCCAGCCAATCGATTCCCATGACCATTACTGTTTTTGCGAGTAATAGTAGAAATCATCAGAGGGAACGGTGTTGAAGGTTTTTCCAATTTCTGCTGTTATGTCATTGAAAGATGGCCGCTGTTTTGCTTTCCTCTGCCAGCACTGTTTCATCAAGTTGTAGTAGCTAAGAAAAGAACATTTCTGAATTCATTGCTGTCGTTATATGGGTTGAAAAATCTCTTACTTATGTACCATTACATGAATATCACCATGTACAATTGTAACTCTAATGAGAAGAGTGCATAAGTACTGTTTGAAAAACAAGAGGCCCAAGGGCCTTAACGGTCACCTGAGCATAAAACAACACTGTAAAGGATCCACAGAAGTATAAAACAAAATTAACTGATAGACGAAGCTATGTTGCCCAATAATTTCAAAAATGTGGCAAAAATGCCCTTGCTTATTTTAAAGTATAAGACCCGAGTGATCACCTTGGGATCATACTTGGTTTTCCGAAGTCTTATAGGGATGATATTGAATGCAAAACATGAAAATGCAATGGACACTTGCCTATTGTGTAAGGTATTCAAAATATACAGATATGTTTTTGTCACTTTCCTAGTGCTACAAATTAGTTCACACAGACTTTGGTATACAACATGGCTATTTGCCACTAGTAACTAATTACAATAAGTCACCCTGGCTCTCGGTGATTCTTTGTTCACTTTGAAAAAGTATAAAACAATTTTATTGAGTTTCTTGTCAACCATGACTCTACCAATGACAATAACTCATCTGCTGTCAAACAGATCGATCACCACTGTGTAAACATACTGTGTACAATTACAAGTTTTGCTAATATGTAAATAATCTTTATCTTTTATATTTCTTTCCAGGCAAGAATCTGACTACGAGCATGCTTTGCTCATTTAAATCAAACATTCCTTTTTATTTTGTTTCTATGTACATAACATTCTTTATGCATTCTCATTTAATCAAATAACCTGTTAATTAAATTATATACAAGGATTTCTTGATTAACAACATCTAGCAAAGGGGAGTAACTCTCATTTGCTTCGCTTATTACAATTGTGTACTCTGTTAGCTTCCTAGATACCAAGGAGGAAAGAAAAGGCACATTTACTTATAATTATATTTAATACATTAACATTGACATTGCATTTGGTTTGTTTGCTTAGTAGTCAGGGGCAGAGGAGAATATTTTCAAAGAATTAATGCATTCTGGTAATTGATCAATAGAGCCCCACCCAAGCACAAGAACCCCTGACCCAAGGGCCATGAAATTCACAATTTTGGAAGAACTAGCACCCTTTCTCATCATAACTATGTATTTAGTTTTCTTAATACCAATGGGCAGAGGAGAAGATTTTCAAAGCATTAATTTATTTTCAATATATGATATATAAGGCCCCCCCCCCCATGCGACCCCCTGACCCAGGGGCCATAATTTCACCATTTTGGAAGAGGCACTCTTCCTCATCATAACTATGTACTTAGTTCATCGGCTTAATAAACAGGAGCAGATGGAAAAAAAAATTCAAAGAATAAACGCATTTTCACTATATATTCAATAGAGCCCCGTCCTAACACCAAAAACCCTGACCCAGGGGCCATGAAATTCACAATTTTGGAAAAGGAACTCTCCCTCATCATAACTATGTACTTAATTAATCGGCTTAATACCCAGGAGCAGAGGAGAAGATTTTCAAAGAATTAATGCATTTTCACTGTATAATAATCATTAGAGCCCCGCCCTAACACCAGAATTCCTGACCCAGGGGCCATGAAATTCACAATTTTGGAAGAGGCACTCTTTTTCATCATAACTATGTACTCACTTCATCAGCTTAATACCCAGGAGCAGATCTAGAGGAGAAGATTTTAAAAGAATTAATGCATTTTCACTATATAATCATTAGAGCCCCGCCCTAGCGCCAGAACCCTGATGCTTGGGTCATGAATTTCAAAATTTTGGTAGAGGGCACAATGCTTATTACAATCATGTCAACAGTTTGACTGCTTGATAAGGAGTAAAAATGATTTTTAAAGATTCCATTAATTTTGATTGTTTTAGCCCCATCCCATAGGGCACAGGGGGGCAGGGGCCATGAATTTCTCATTTTTACTCCCGTTTACCCATAGATGCTATACCAAAATTGGTTGAGTGGTTCCAGAGAAGAAGCTTAAAATGTTCAAAAGTTTACGACCAATTGAGGACGAACGACAATTTTTTTTAAGAACAGACTGTTCAAAAGATTAAAATAATCATACATGTATGAGATTAAAAGGTCTCAATAATTAATAAGTTGAATATACTTCAAAAAGTATAATTATAATGGACTAAAAGAGACTCTTACAAGTCATTGGCAAATTCAGGGCGACTCATTCTATTTCCATTTCTTAGATGCATCTGAACATCCCTGCTTCTTACGCCGGGGTATGGAACATCACCTATAATATTTTGTTTGAAAGATTTCAACAAAGGCATTTTTTGCTTTTTCTGAAGAATTAAATACACAAATAGAATTTACGATTTTTATTTCATTTTACATGTACAATGTATTACTTACCAAAGCTGAAGATTTCCCACAAAACGACACCAAATGACCACACATCGCTTTTGGGTGTTGCATATTTCATGGATACCAGACACTCTGGAGCAGCCCACTTAATAGGTATACGCTCCTACAAAAGGAGAAAATAGGTATATACGGTCACACAAACATAAAATCTCTCATGAATAGTCGCTTCAAAACCACACTGATATATAATTTTAATATGGTTATGTTTGGGCATTGAATGTGTTGTGAGAAAGAGAGAATATGTTTTCAGATTTTATTTCAGTTTTGGTGAACTGACATATTGACGTTAAAAAATAATTTTGTATGCACGATTATAATTTTACACACTTTGTCATCTTTTACATCACCATCATCATCTTTGTGATCGTCCTTTGATGTCTGTTGCTGCGGACAAAATCCGTATAATTTGGGCTCCAGTTCACTGGTCAAAAGCACATTCCTGGCGGCAAGTCTTCTATGAACCAACTTAAAAAAAATCATTAATGAAGTCAACCTATAAAAAATCAGCTGGACTTTAAAGGTATTCTTATATGATTCTACTACTGACCACAGACTTCCTCATATGGAGGTGTAAATTGATAATTAAATCATTGTACCCATCAATGTATAATGGGTAACGCTTCACCTAATTAAAAGCCCTAGCTGTCCTACCAGGAAATTAAATTTTTAATCATTCAATAAAGAAACATGCAACAAACGGGTTGTTACTCAGTTGCCCTGGGCGCGCAAAGCTCGCCCTCATCAAGCCCTGTAGTAAACCTTAATGCCACAATTGATGGCAACTTTCCCCTGAAGTTTTTTTTTCTTTGTTTTTATTCTTTGTGCATTTTGAGTTGTTTTTTTCCTTCTAAATTTGCAATTATTTTAAAAAACAATTAGAGTTTGAACAAATTAAGGTATATACGCGGTGTGCTTTCCCTTTGCACAAAATTTCAGATTCTTCTTCAGATCTTGATTCAGACAGTGATGAACAGAGTAAAATTATGGATAATTTCATCCAACATACTTCTCTAAATTGTATGTAACGACTTTTCAGAGAAAACTCCATTCTCATTAAATTCACAGACACAAAATAAGGAAAACACTGTGTCAGAAGTCAACCGAAAACGTCGTGTTCAGGGGTGTATATGTAACACGACGTGAAAAATCGTGAAGTTAATGACTTTTGGGGAAGAAGTGATTTTTTTTTAGATGAAAATCAGATTGTGATATCAAATAAAAATCGTCTGTGTGTGTGGAGAACTCAGGGTGAAGGGTATCGTCCAGAATGAGTCGGTCTACATGGCCGCAGTGTTAAGATGAACGCTGTGTTTTTGGGTGAGTGACATATTCAGGAGAGGTAAAATAATTCAAATAACTGAATATATTAACTCTGTTAGCAAGTATACAATTGATGAACACCTTCATTTTTGAAATATGACCAGTTCTTGCAAAAAATTTTGGAAATTCACCATCTGAACTCCAGCATAACAATACCTCCTCTGATGCTTCTCAATTGATAAATACAAATGATTTAGATCGTCTTGACTGGTCAACACAGTGAAAAATGGTTTATTAAAAAATGTCTGAGAAAATTGCAGACAGCAATTTATTATAAATTAAGGATGATTTGATCACTGGAGTTTTGAAAAATTGGTCCTTTGTATCTGTCCCATACGTAAAATAACTTATATCACACAATTCCAAGAAGATTGCTGTAATTTCTGGTTGAGGTCACATCAGTAAATACTGAAATTTGTTTTATTGTTTTCAGGCGCGGATCCAGGATCTTTTTCCAGAGGAGTCCTAAACCAGTCAAAAAATTTCCAATCCAGAAAATTCTTGACAAGGAAGGGAAAAAAGGATTGATTGATTGAATGAATGTTGTTTTATGTCCCGTTCGAGAATTTTTCATTGATATAAAGACGTCACCATAAACCGATGAAGGGCTTCAAATTTAGACCTTTACTCGGCACTTAGGGCCATTGAGCAGTGAGGGTTCTTTATCGTGCCAACGCCTATCGTGACACGGGGTCTCGGTTTTTAAGGTCTTTTCCGAAAGACCCAAAGTGCCGAGAGCTTGGCGCAGGAACAGTTGCGACCTATTTTTTATCGACTTAGGTCAGTCGCGGCCGTGATTCGACCTTCCGACCACGGAGCGAGCGTTCTACAAATAAATAAACAATACTAATAATAAATAAACTCCTTTTTTCGAACATATCAAACCCCCAAAATTTGACAAGCAAAAAAAAGTCCATTCCCACGCGTCAAAAAACTTTTTCGTGATGGTGGTTGGGGGTCCACGTTTTCTAGAGAGGGGGGAGGGGTCCAGAGTCATTTTATTTGCTTTAAATTAGTTTATACTTTTAATAACTGTTAATTCAAGGGGGGTCCGGACACCCCCACCCCGACACCCCTCTGGATCTGTGCATATTGTTTAATGATGGTTTGAAAAGACAAGAAAGTTTGCCTCGAAACAATTACATTAGGGAAAAGTTGCATCGATTTTGACACCTGTACATGTACGTGTTGGTGAAAGAAAAATAACATAGCAAAGATCTAAAATTATACTTTTCTGTTTTCAAAGTGAAGCATTCCTTTCGAAATCCCATAAACAATTCGACAAAGCTGTTCTGAAGTTTCTTCATTGGCTCTAGATTTTTGCTCTTGCAGCCATGTATTAAGTTGACCTAATTCGCAGTATTCAAGTACCATGTATGGACCAACTGTGAAGAAATAGAGGGTTCTGTAAATTAATTTCACTGATAAACTTCATTAATAAAAGATTGTTTTTGACTTAGTCTATAAAATCATATGCAAATTCTGTGGACTGTTTTGTTTTTTTTTTTTCAGTTAAGATATCAGATGGATTACTTGCAATACTTTTGATGAAAATTAAAGTCTCCACAGCAGTTGAAGACTTCTCCATTCAAATATCTAAATCCCTAATACATGGGTTACAAACTGCACTTAACAGTGTAAGCGTGATCAACATAGAACATGAAATAAACACCCTAGCAATATCCCGATAATCATCTTCTAAACTTCATAATGTAAACTCAATGTACATTATATATTTACGTGCTTGCATGAACCAAAGGAAATCTTTATTAAAGGATTCTATGAGAAAAACCAGACAACGTAGAGAAGAGAGACAGTTACATAAAAAGTACCGTCTTGCTTATGGACCAAGTAATGTTCATACCCTATTTTCTGTAGACATAAAGTAAATAAGTTAATTATTCATTTTCAGAAAATATTTCATACTCTCAAAAGTTATGAATTTAAATTCAAGCCCAAATAATATTTATAATATATAATATTATAATAATAATTATATTACTGCGGATAAAGTCTTTAGGTAATTCAAGGAAGAAAATCACTTTAAAAAAATTCTTACGGGCCATGTCATCAAAAACGGCTCCATAAAAGCGTAAAATATTGGAATGTTCTCCAACTTTGGTAGCATAGAAATTAATCTTGGCGCGCATGCTTATCTCCTGTTCCTCAGTGTAACCATCTGCAGAAGAAAAGGACAATAGGACTGATTTATGCGTCAGGGATTCTTATGTCTTTATCTTGGAACATTGATAAACTGACTTTCAATGCAATTTTTAATTTAAAACGATACAGTTATAAATAAATATAAAAATTATGAATAAAAACGAATTTAAAAATAAGATGTTATTTGATAAAGAAGATTCCTTTTATGGATAAGATATACATTTGCAAGCTTTCATAATTGCTTACTCTTCAGCACTTTGGCCACATACTTATCCCCTCGGGACGTGCTATTTTGAGGATGATATCTGATTTTATAAATATCCGCAAACCGTCCGCTTGTGAGTAGGGTTTCCAAAATAACAGAACTGTGTGGGATTATATAATCGTCCGAAGTGCTGATTTCCTTTCCTCCGTACAAGTAAATGTCATCCTGGTCTTCATAAGACATATTCTAAAATGTTATTACACGAATCAATGATTATCTACCCTGTATAATAAAAGACATTTGTAAGTATTTACATGTGCCTTCAAAGATGTAGAATGTAGATCGTTTAATTTTTAATTTTGTGAACAGAATAAATCTAAGACACATGTTTGAATATTTTTGGATTTATATTTTCATGATATTTCATGAAATATTGATCAAAAGAACATCTAATCAGTTTTAACAAGAGTTTACATTACAGGAACTCCATGGTGAATCAGTGTTTGCCTTTTAATACTGAAGTTTGTTAAATCGATTACTGTAACTATAATAATTGTAATTTGCAGATAAACAAATTTGAACCTTTACTATGTAATGAACAATCACACAAGTTTCATATTTTCTGGTCAAGTGGTTATTAAGAGGGAAAATTTTAATCGATGTCATTAAATTTTAACCATTCTCAAATATCTCCATTTGAAAGGTGTGGTCATTCGTTTGAACACTTAAATTCCCATCAAGGATGTATGGCAATTTTGGCTGAAATTGCGCTAAAATTCTTGAGAAAAAATCGAAAATGTGAAAAATATACAGACAGACGGGTGCCGAACAAAATGTGACCAGATACATATAGCTCACGAGCTTTCAGCTCATATAAGTGATGAATTATATTAAGGAAGCTCTTAACACTGCTCACTGAAGAGTGCTTATTACATGGCAGTTTTATGAATTACTGTGATCTGCCTTTTGATGACATAATTTGAAATAAACTGAAATATTCTTAACATTATATTAGTCTAAGATAACGTAATTGAATACATAATTTGCATGTATTTTCCCAATGTAAGTCAACAGTGACGTCTTTACATTAACTTCTGCATTGTCTTTAAACATTTTTCCTGGAGAAGTATGGTACATGTAGGTACCTTATGTTGAAAATGACCAACATAAACTATATAAGTACATCTTTATATCAAACAATTTTTACAAAGTTCAAAAAGCATTTTTGCTTTGTGTTTAGATTTTTTTTAACTTACAAAATGTGAAGCTGAAAAGCGATTTTGTATCCTCTCTCTGACCACTGTGACTCTCCTTTGTATGTTCTGTTTAGCCACTGTTAATCTGCCTGTCCTCCACATAATCACACCAACAACAATGATTCCAAGTAAGAGAATCATCACTGAAAATAATCTTCACATAATGAAAGAACTTCTATGAGAGTGGAATACAGTAAATCACCAAATATTCACAACTCCTCTCTATCGCGAGAAATTTATTTGGTATTAATAAAAAACTTAATTTTTCAGAAAATCTGGTTATTGTTGTACATTGTGTATAAAACCTTTCAAAATGTTCGCAGAAATAAAATTTTTTCGCGAGACGTCTCCCTCGCATAATTACTCCAAAACCAAATTCATGCGAATGAAAAAGTGATTTACAGTACATGTATTGAAGTTTATAGATATAGGACGTACGTCAATTTGACATGCGCATGTTAACTGTTCAGTGAAATAACTTCCCATGGTGATATTACATTTAAATTGATTCAATAGAAAATATACTCTTTTTTCAGTTTACCAATTGAAATTCCTGCGATTCCTCCAGCAGTCAAAGCAGCAGGTGATTCGGTTGTTTTGAATGATAAATAAACTGGATCACTTTTTTGAGCTGCATATGCCGTGACGAAGGATAAGTTATAGACTGTTTCAGCATCCAGTCCCGTGAGATCAAAATAATCAGCGTCCTTATCAACCAGACGAGTATAAGTTTTTCCATCTTTTGATACAACAAGGACAAGAATTCTGGTCCTCTCATAACAGCTAGGCGTGACTGTCCACCTCAGACGAACACCGTTGTCGTATGTTTTCTCAATGTGGAGATTTGTCGGTCCAGAATCTAAAATTTGTCATAAGTTTATCACTCAAATATTTTAAAATTATATCCGAAATGCGTGAAATGTTTTCTTTAAATCAGTTATTAATGTCATAGTGAAAATAATTCTTAATCGAAATTTTGGGGCACGGTTTTTTTTATTTAGAACATTTTACATAAGTTTCGTATTAATCGTTTTACGAAGTTACTTTAAGATATTTTGTTCCTTTGTTGAAATTCACTTAACTAAAAGGGTGTAATATTTTTGGAGATGAAAAATATAAATGCAAGTACATGCATTTATAATCTGGAACATACAATGTAAAATAAGCGGCAAAAGGGCTTTAACGGTCACCTGAGCATAATGCAAATTTAACTGTAAATTATCCATAGAAGTATAAAATAAAACAACTGATAAACGGATCTATATGAAGCTATTGCCCAAAAGAAAGAGAAATAGGATGATCAGGTCAGGAATCTGCAATTTTTTTATCTAGTACTCATTAACAAATCTTAAAGTGGATGTATTACTTGTCTGACTCCGATTTGTCACTTTGACAATGCAGACTATTAAAATAAAACAATATTGCTTGAGCCTCTCATGGTCTTTTAGGAACATTTAATGTACAAAGATAAGGTATTTCTGTCTCATTTTTATTTATCTATTATTTACAACTTTACCTGACCATGAAAAACTATAAAAGTACTTTTTGTTTTATATATAAAAATTCTTGAAAAATTCTCGTATTCAATTGAACTTTCAGTTAATTATCATAGATGAATAGCAAAGGGGGATAATATTTCCTACTTTTGTGAAGTTTACCACAGAACAAAACAAACTGTTCAACCCTACTGTTTCAAAAACCATTAACCAAAAAACTCCCCTGAGTACTCTTAGTCCTCTTTCTTAAGACTTTTTTGAGTGGAAGTTGATAAACGTTTTCGTCTTTTTTCCCGTGATATGCACTCATAATTTGCTCGCCACTAGCCAAAAGGAACATAACCGAAATTGAATCCTTACAATATAGGGATACGTTAAGAGCTTGTCTCAGAGAAAATCAAGCCAATTTGTCCCACAGGCATTTTTCAGTTAAATCGTAGATATTTTGCATACGTAACATACTAGGCAAAAGAATTCCAAATACAAAATACTTTGTTGATTTCTGAAGGTATGGGGTCTTACGAAGCGCCACCTATTTTTTGCTGTCACACCTCATATTTGATCTTCATTTGATCTTAAAAATTCAATTTTAAACCCCTATTTATGAAAATTACCACATTTCAAAATAGGAGTGGAAAATCTGAGCTGACAATGAATTTTCATTTTTTTGCCCACCCCCATATGGGTAACCTTCGATGTGGACTTTCGAAAAATGGCCAAGTTAGCAAATTTTGCTTACCGGTAAATCTAAAATAATTTTTTTTCCTAAGATATGTAACTATTTTCAATATCCCTATTTTTATCTTAAAACCTTCATCGTAGGTTTAGAAAATATTAAAATATCCATATCCTTGTGAAAATGTTAAGTAAATATGCATTTCGTAGAATGCATAATTATGTTTTAGTTCATTTATTACGGTACAGTGTAGGTCTAATTGCAGATCTTGATATTTTAGTATTCAAAAAGATATATATCGGATGGTCGACACAGACTATCACAAAATAACCTCATCTTTCTTTTTTTAATCATAACATTGATATTTACGTTTCTAAAATTTCTAATATGCACAGCACAATATTAAAAGCCAGATTTTTTGGAAAGGGGGGGGGGGTACTCGATTAACTTTATGGACCTTACACCTTGATGAATACATATATTGTTAATTTGCTGTTTACCTGGCTGGGTGTGTTTTTTTTTTTCTTTTAAAGGAGGTGGTATAATGATTTTACTTTTTACCTGCTCTTACAGTTATTTTGTGTCTTGTTCTAAGCTAGTTGAATTTCTTACACTCAGCTACATGTAACTGTAGCACCCCTTTCAGCCTTACTTGTAGCTTTGCTCGAGTTGTAAGAAGTTCAGGATGATATATTTTGTCCAGCATATTCAAAAAATAAATAAATGAATTTAAAAAATACAAATCCGCTGAGGAACGAATGGATAGTTTTAGTCTGATGTCAGTAAACTTATATATGCTACTCAAGTATCCTGTATAAACGACTTTCACATTTACGAAATTTAATTCCCTTTGCGCGGTCAATCGTGACCAACTTGATGAGACAAATTCTAAGAAAAATCTTGTGTATATGTTCATTATGTTTTCTTTCATAGCCTTTTCTATAACAATACAGGAACTGTACACCATACTAGGAAAGGGTTTGAAGATTTGAAATATTTACAGGTAGAAAATGAGCGTTACGCCGACAAAGAGAGATAAGTCTCAAGAATGTGAAAGTTGTCCGTAATATACAATTCATGTAGCAGGGGTCGATTCTGATATTTCTACTTTTGTGAACAGCGCAACAATTGCTAATATACACTGGTGTATTTCTTACACTGATATATGTATGTATACACTGATGTTTATATGTATATTCATCAGAAATGTTTGAAAGTACGAGATTTACAAAGCAAAACAGGAGGCTGCCATTTTAACAGGAGAGCTACAAAGGGGGAGCAACCCTTCCAAGTATTGTCTCATATTACAAGTTTATATATATATATCACTTGCATCTAATTCGCATATGAATTAGATGGTTTTATCGAAGATAGTGCAATATTCAGTTATCTCCCTTGGTTCAATGTCTTAGTGCATCAATGTACATATCGGTTATCCCCCCTGCTGCATATTTGTGAAGTGGCACTGCCTCCGCATCTTCCTTTCTGAAGATTCCAGAATCATGTAAGGTCGGCATAAATTTTCAGAGTGTATTGTTTGTTAAATTTGTGTGATTTTGTAAAAAAAAAATTCTTGTCTGTTTTTTATGTCATCGTTGCACAATACTTTCTTTTGATTTTGTCAATATTGTAAGAGCGGTTTATCACTTTTTAATACCTAGACGATCTGAGATTTCTTACAAGCTCGGCCAGGCGCCGTCCATCGATAGCGTGGGTAGCCATTTAAAAAAAAAGTCAATAGATTTGGATGTTATTGATAGACGATATTAATTTTATTTTTCTTTTTAATGCACAGGATTATAATACGTTAAGCAATCTACTATATATTACTTCTTGTATTTGAGTATGCCACCGGTTCGGAATACAAAGAGGTCATCGAGGGCAAAACCGAAGCGCAATGCAACGGCGACTGCTCCACCCCCCAACCGCGCATGCACCCAGCCCTGGTTCGGATACTCCAAGAACGATGAGTCTGTCTCAAGTCTCCAAGGGGCACAGAAGTTTTCAGGGATGTGTCAAGTCGATCCAACTCCAACGCCAGCCAGTAGCTCCGAGCAAACCATGGCAGGAACCCAGTCAAGTGACTCGGATTTGCCCACACCAACACCCTCCATCAACAATATTGGTATGCATGTTGTTCAAGCTACAAGGCAAAAAATTATCGAGGGCCAATATGTTGACCTAGTTTCTCTCTTGCCACCCAAGCCTGGGGGGTATGAGAAAAAAACTTGTAATAAACAATCTAGGGGAAATTATCACTAAAGACTCAACACCCAAACGTATTGAGTCCATAGAAAAATGGACTGATGTTATGCTGATTTTTGCAGCAATCTACCTTCAAGCACACCCTGCTAAAACCATTGATCTTATCAAGTACATTCAAACTGTTTGGACTACAAACCAAAGTCTCAAGCAAGCCCAATCGGGGAAATGCTATGACTTCAATTTCAAAGGATCTTGTAGCAAATTCCCTTGCTCTTACGATCACTTATGTTTACGCTGTAATGGTCACCATGCTATGATGCACTGTCCAGGGGTTCACACTCAACAAGCAAATGTATCCTCAGCTCCCGATAATTTTCGTTCCCCAGGTAGATTCCAGATTTCACAATCAAATTCAACCCCCTATTTCAGAGGTCAGCAAAACTATCGTTCATTCAGCTATAAGGGTCCCAACGCTACAAATCAAAGGCCAAGATACCGCTTACAAAACCAACAACATTTGGGATCTAGGCAAAACACCAATTAAAACTTCAGTACTAAAAAGTATTTAGATCAATATCCCAATAGCCATGTTGCAAATAAATTACATTTGGGGTTTACTCAGGGATTTCGGCTACATTACTTTGGACCTAGGTTAAATATACAATCAAATAATCTGATTTCTGCATATGAGCACCACCAGGAAGTTAGGGATAAAATTGATAAAAAAATTGATTTGGGAAGGATTGGAGGGCCATACAATCAGTTGCCCATGTGTAATCTTCGTATTTCCCCAATAGGAGTTGTTCCAAAGGGGGATAATTCAGGTTGGCGACTCAAAACACACCTATCCTTCCCTACTGACTACAGTGTCAACGCATTTATTGACTCCAGTGAAACTGCAGTTCAGTATACTTCATTTGATAAAGTTGTCCAAATGACTGCTAGGTTTGGTAAGGGAGCATTTATAGCAAAATGTGACATAAAATCAGCATTCAGACTTTTGCCCATATATCCTGGGGATTTTGATCTCTTGGGTTTTAAATTTGACAATAGGTTCTATATTGATAAATGCTTACCCATAGGTTGTTCCATATCCTGCAAAGTTTTTGAGGAGTTTGCCACATTTTTAAATTGGTTAACAATAAATCAGTCTGGCTTTGACTCTGTGGATCATTATCTCGACGATTTTATCTTTGCGGCCCTTGATGAGCATCGCTGCAAGCAAATTATGTCAACATTCCAAAATATGTGTGGTCAACTTGGGGTACTCTTAGCAGATTAAAAAACTGTAGGGCCTACTTGTTTGACATTTCTGGGTTTAGAGATAGACACAAATAACATGGTAGTAAAAATTCCAGGCCCAAAATCCCTTGAACGTCAGGTACTCATTCAAGACATCCTGTCTAAGAAGAAAACTATTCTAAAACATTTACAATCATTGTTAGGAAAACTTAATTTCTTCACTAGGGCTATCCTCCCCGGTCGTGCCTTTGTTAGGCGTCTATGCGATGCTACAATAGGGGTAACAAACCTTACTACCATATTAGCATAACAAAAGCCATGAGAGAGGATCTATCCATATGGTTAAATTTCTTAGAAGACTTCAATGGTCAAGTTTACTTTTTAGACCAGGAATGGACATCTGATGATGTACTACAATTATTTACAGATAGTTCAGAGGCATCACATTTAGGTTGTGGGGCATATTTTCAAGGTGAATGGTGCTATCTGGGTTGGTCCTCCTTTTTACAGGATACATTAGGTGATATGACATTTTTAGAGCCGGTGCCCGTAGTATTGGCACTCTATTTGAGGGCTAATAAGCTTGCAAATAAAAAGATCATACTTCATATAGATAATCAAGCCCTTGTAGCGATATTAAATAAACAATACTCAAAGTCAAAGTTGGTTATGTCCTTGGTTCGTCCATTTGTTTTTAAATGCATACAATGTAGCATCTTATTCCGCGCAGTGTTTATTCCAACAAAATTAAATATCATTGCTGATGCCAACAGTGGGACAGACTTCAACGGGCAGCGCCAGAGGCAGATCCAGTTCCACTGCCAGTGCCTTCTTCCTTCACAACTCTCATCTCCAGTTTGAATTTAACAAGTTATTAGATGCTTCAGTTTTACAGAATACACGCAGGACCCGCAATGCAGGTCTCCAGGCATATTTTGTAGTAAAAACCAGCTCGATCAAGCCTGGCCACCAAACCTAACTTTAATTCCACTACACGTTCATACATCGCGGTATTATCATATCAATGCAAATCGCAGGGTCTTCATGACCCCACGAGGAAAGCATACTGTAGATAGCAGGCTACCAATAACAAAAGACATCTTAACAAAAATATTCCAGGTGTTGCCTTGTATTTGTAGAAATGCTTATGAGTCAGCTTTGTTTTCAGCAGCATTTTCATTAGCTTTTCACGGGCTGTTTAGAGTAGGCGAGTTAGTCATCCACCCAAGTTTACCAGAAAGGGTTATTCAAAGGGATGATGTTAAATTAGACAGAGCAGAGGGCTCAATAAACATAACCATAACATATTCCAAGACTGATCAGATGGGCAAGGGGACAGTACTCACATTTCTAGGGTGGGGGACATGACATGCCCATTTCGTCACATGGATGTTTTTCTTAGTCTCCGTCCCAGGTCCACTTTTCTGCCACTTCGATTCATCTCCATTGACTAGATACCAATTTACCGCTATTTTGTCAAAAACAATTAAACACCTTAACTTACCAAGCAAGTACAAAACGCATTCCTTTCGAATTGGAGCAAGTACAGAGTTCGCCCTTAAAGGGTTTTCATCTGATGTCTTCAAAAGTCTGGTAGATGGAGATCTAGCTCTTACAAATCATATATTCGTATACCAAAGTTTTAATTTTTCATAGATCATTTATATTGTAGGTACCAAAATCATTTGGTTGGTGGGCTCCTCAATCAAAAAGTGGGCACAAACAGAAGCTATACTTAGACCTGGTGGTTGCAGTTTGAATCTTAATAGGGTAAATATATCATTATGGTGGCAGGGCTACTATGGTCTACATGTAACACTCATGCAAGTTATTAACAAATTAAAATACTTGGAATAGATTTGGTTCACAACCGAGTGCCATCCTTCTACACTGTGGTGGAAACGATTTAGGCCGTACTTCTATAAGAAAGTTAAGGATACAAACAAAAAAAGTTGCAAAATTTATAAAAATAAATTTTCCTGGAGCTAGGTTAATTTGGTCTTGTATTTTGCCACGAATAACATGGCGGTATTCCCATTATAGTGAAAAAATGGAGAATGCTCGTCGACGCCTTAATTCCTTTGCAAGCATTTTAGTTAAGTCTGAAGGGGGGGGGGGGCTGTCATTTCATACCCTGATATTACAGCGACACCCAAAATGTTAAACAGTGATGGGGTCCATCTATCCAAATTAGGTAATTAAACACATTGCAAGGGGGTCTGGAATCTATAATGGGTCGCAACATTGCATACTTTCCCGAGTAGTTGGTACGGACACGGCTTAATAATACCCTAGCGCCGCTCTACCCCCACTTTTGGTGGCGGAGTTCCCTACCATCATTGCCATTGCTTGCACTTATGGTAGGAAACTTGTGGCGATTATGAGCGGCACTGTCAGATTTGATGATGAAATGTACAAGTCCTTGACCTCTGCACCTCCCAGGGTCAAGGTCATGAGTTGCTTGACCTCTGCAACCTTTGATATTATTTTGAACTGTGAATGTGGAAATATGTTTTTGTAACTTGGCCGATGTTTTGTAAATAAGTTGTGTACTGAAAATGTGAACATTTGATGTTGAATATGCTTTTGATGTTGCTTTCGTTGTTTGTGGGGCCAGCCCTTTGACATGTTGGCGGCCCGTCGATTTTGTTTGTATATACAGCCGTGCCCATAAACGCCATATTAAAGAATTCCTATTTTCTTTCTTTATTCATTGCACTGTTCTGAGATGTATATATATATATATATATATATATATATATATATATATATATATATATATATATATATATATATATATTGAAAATTTACAAAATTCTGTGTATTTCACCAATATATATTTATAACTTCTACGTATTTTCCAAGCCTGAAGTTTTAAAGTGTAACTAAATTAAGGCTTCTCTGAATAATAAAAGCAATTTTTGAACAAAATATTCTGTATCTTGAAAGAGAAACATCTGAAATTTTCCCGAACAATTATCTATCTTCTATGAGCAAAGTTTAGGTGGTCACAATAACTACACCAGTTCAATAATAAAAAAAAATTCCAAATTAACGTTTAATGCTGTTTTTCATTTAAATATAGATTTACTGATGAAAAGTTCAGACCCCCCCCCCCCCCCCCCGCTGAATACTTTATCGATTTTACTTGGTTTTCTCTGAGACAAGCTCTTCATACAAATATAAATGATATGGCGTTGCTGTTCTTGATAAGAGTTTTTCTTTAAGTATATACATGTATGCATTAAATAGCATTTGATCCCCGACCTTAGCCAATTCTATACCACGAGATCATAATTTGAAAACAGTTGAATCCCCATTCCCCTATTTATATTTTTTTTCTTGTTAATTTCCCATATTACCATGGATAGCTTTGAGTGATTCTTGCATGGCAGTAGGAACCGGGGGGGTGGGACACGCCTCCCCCCCCCCCCCCAATAATTTTGCCAATAGATAGATTACTATAGAAAACATAGCTTCTATATGCTTGTGCCCCCTCAATAAAAACGTCTGATGACCTTTTTCTTCTTCTTCTTCTTTTTTTTTTTTTTTTTTGCTTGTCAAGGAATTTTTGATAGTTGATATTGCCCCAAACTGAAAAATGTATAGCTGTGCCCCCCCCCCCCCAAAAAAAAACTGAAATTGCTTCCTACGGGCCTGTCTTGAGAAATTTATCCTATCCTAATTTTTACCTTTTTCCCCTTGGAGGGGGCACGGTCCTTCGTTTAAATTAATTACTTTCTCAGAGCCTACTGGCTCTTTGGTTCGTAACATAAAGCCTGCCAGGGTAATTTTTGAAGTAGTATGATCAGTTTGACTTTGGTGCAGACTTGGGACCTCCTTAAGTACTACTTATGCCTTTTGCCCTAACATAAATCGAACTAGGCGAGAGCGTAGCTAAGTGAAACTCTTTAAACTTAAAAATCGAAATATTGTTTTTATTGACATACGTGTATTTATTTTATTTATTTTGGGATAAAAAGATTATCGTTAAAAAACTATGTCCAAAAATAAATTAAGGATATCTAGAATACAATCGAGAATTTTTCACTCATATGGAGACACCACCACTTGCCGGTGGAGAGCTACAAATTTTGACCTATACTCGGCACTCAGGGCCATTGAGCAGTGAGGGATCTCTTTCGTGCCAGCACCTACTGCGACATGGGACCTCGGTTTATACGGTCTCATCCGAAGGACCGGTATGTTGGTTTGTTAAAATTATAAGATAGCCTCCTCGTAACATATTATAACATTAACACATTGGTGTCAATGAATAAGAGGAAATGTATCATATATTGTTTTAAAAATAGACAGAGTAAATTTCCTATTATTGCAGTAAAATATCTAAGCATTCACTTGTCCATTTCTAAGCAAAGACCCTATAGGATTTGATTTATTAAAGTACGAAATATTTTTTCATTAAATAATTTGTTTGATATCTGTACACAAGGAAAAGAAAAGAAATTAAAAAAAAATGGCCATGCAAAATAACACGATCTGTCGACATGTAATAATAGTTTCTTTCAAAAATAAAACTTACATTCATCAATCCCATCCAAAGATTCAAGGTTCGATATCTGAAATTATATATACATGTATGCATACCTAAACAAAAAATTAAGTAAAAGCCACATTTCAATATTTAATTGATATTAAAATAAATTTCATGAGCTCTAGAAAAACTTAAATTATTTGTTAATGAATTCTTTTTAACAGAGCAAATTGCAAAATGTACAGATGTACCATTTTCATAAAAGTTGTGGATTCCATGGCTCTATTATACACAATTAGATTCAATTTGATCGATTCATTTCGAAAGGATTCTTTTGGGACCACCATCCAACAGTTGTCTATGTCCAGGTAATGGCTGTAGTAGAAATTGTCTCCCATAGGTATCTGATATCCCTCAGTGAATCTCAGGGTTGTCTATTAGGTATTAAAATTGTTCTTTATTTCACCTGGTTTGTTTGTATATGTATTACATAAAAAACGAAAACTTGCTAAAAAAAACTATTCTGCACTTAAGTTATATCATATAAAACGCAATCCATGAAATATGTGAAATCTTACGTTTGTTTTGTTTCCAGGCATAGAACCAGATTTGAAAAGGTCTCCAGTTTGATTAGACGAAAATGTCCAGTCAATTTTGTGTATTCCACTATTTTTATCTTGAGTATTTACGAGTAAGCTACAAATATATATATATATATATATATATATATATATATATATATATATATATATATATATATATTCAGTTGCATCACGAAATCTGAAATGGGACAAGAAATATTAGCTTCAACCTACCGACTTGTAAAGGAAAATGTAGAATTCTTCAGATTTGGTATGAATAAAACATCATTATGTATTAGAGGAGATGGTGGGGTTTCATCGAAGTAAACATGCATTAGGTCATATTTTTGATTTCCCATTACGTCAGTGGCTTTGATCCAGACGTTTAAGGTGTCTCCATCACGCCTAGGAATATTGAAAGTTACAGTTTCAGTTAGATCATTAATGGGTCGCCAGCTTACTGGTTCCTGACTTCCTTGATTTGCATTACCAAAATCGTATTCAAATTTGATAATTCCATGAATATTGCTTATTGGCTTTAATGTTCTGTTGCCATCATTGTCGTCTAATTTAGGAAGAACACGTTTTTGAAACTTTTTATCGTGATCGTAATGTTTATAATCAGTCACAGGAATCAACAATTTTTTGTCTTCATGTAATACGTTTCTAAAGTGTCCTTTCCAGGATATCGATATATCATTCTTCAAATTATTTTGCCATTGAAAATTTGTCTCTTCCACAGCACTTGTTGAAATCATTGGAAAAGCATCGTCTTTCGTGATTGAAGACGTGTTGTCGAACAAGACAAGGGTCCGTGCATATTCAGAGTTATTAGCTCTGTCTACGATGTTCAATATATAGGAGTACATCCCAGGCTGTTTGGGGGTATAAGCAAAGGTTCTTTCTGATTTGTCGAATGTGATTGTCTTCGTAGGACTCCAAGGATCTGGTTCTGTCAAATTTGGGTTCACATTCTGGTTTGGTTGCAGTAGGAATTCCTGTATAGTGTATTTTCCAATTCCAGAAAGTACATCGGCCCAGCCATCCCATGAGAATTGAATTGGGTTCTTAAATATCCAGGGAAAAAAATTAAATTTTTTTTTGCTTATGCACATGTACAGCATACGCCAGTTCAATATAAGAATCAGTATTGTAGTGTTGTCTTGTGTTAATTATGCTTTTGATGATAAAATAAACTAATTAGTTCATTTTGTTCGGGTAAATACACGTAAAATGTTTTTACCATATACTGACTACAGCTATTAATAAAGACTTGAAAAGCATATGTTAACCTGCCTCTTCAACTTTACACCCCCATATATATATATATATATATATATATATATATATATATATATATATATATATAGCACTTAGTCTTTAAAAAAACAACAACACTGTATACATGTACATCATACATCGACAGTATACCAGACTGACCGGACGTGTCTCGCGGTGGTCCGGTTACATTTCATATTTATTAAGTTTCTACATCAAAATTCAAATGTAAAATTGTAAATAATTAGGGTTTTTAATATATATAAACAGTAAGAATGTTGATTTTGTATTTATGTGTAACTAAGCAATGTTGTGAAAATGAAACCGGTAGAGTTTATTTCGGTGTTGTGATTATATATATATATATATATATATATATATATATATATATATATATATATATATATATATATATATATATATATACTTACCTTAGTGATATCTTCGTTTACAGTGAAAGCTTTTGAGGAACATACATGTATAGTATCCAAGATACAGTGATATGGTTTTCTAAAGTCGAAGCGATACATCATTGATTTGCTAGAATTGCTGCCCATAAAAGGGTCTTTAAATGAGGTAGTTGAGGATGTCTTCAATTTTCGATATCCCCCACTTTGGGCAATAACTGTTAATGTTAAACTACAAAATGGTGAAACATAAAGATTACTTAATATGTTGAAACTTGAACTGTAATTTTGATTTCTATAGGGAGTTTTATAAAGTATGTTTTAATGTGAATGGGTTGAGGCGTGAATGACACTGGTTGTTAATTCATTTTGAGATGTAACATACAGGGTGTTTCATAATATATGTTACATTTTTAAATCTAATTATTTTTCTTACCTATCATATTTCTATTACAAACTATATATCATTTTTTACATCAAATCCTGCATTTTTATTCCATGTGAAAAAGTCAAGGAAATCATGGTAATACAATGATTAATTGTGACATAAACGCCGATGACATAATTTGAATATTTTTTCAAAATGGACTTAACTTATCAACATATTGCTGAATTGTAAAGCTGTTGTTTTTTTTCAATACATGTCGCCAATATTCATTCAGAAGTTGATTAAGGAAATATTTCAAAAGAATGGAAGCTCTTTAGGATGCTTATCAGAAGGGTAGACAAGGTTAAAGGACAGGGACGGGTAATATGCGATAAATAACACAATAACTCCAGAAAGCCTAAGGACTTCAAGAGCCGGAGATTTAATTGGTGAAGTGGAGACTCTTAGATAGTTTAGCAAACTCCTGAGAAAACTGTCAGACGGATGTTTTCAGAAATTTATGCTGTTAATATCAGCATTTCCATCATATATTGAACTTTGAAATATGATATGAAGTTATCAGCGTACAAATTTTCAATACTGCAAAACCCCAAGAAAAGAGTTTGCTCTCTGCATTCGCCAATCTCAATCTTTGGGCTTTTTTCGGGGGGGGGGGGGTTTTAGGAACAGGGTCTACAATACTAGACAAAAGATACTGAATGAGCTCAAAAGAAACAAACCTTCAAATGAGGAGTGTCTAAGCAAAAATGTGTGACAAGGTTATACAAATTTCGAGAAGCAACTTTCATTTGTAGGTAAAATAGTGGAGGTCATTACGAACATGTAACGTGGACTTTTGACGTTTTGAAATTCAACGTTACAAAAATGACGTAATTTAGAAATTTCACTAATTTTCATTAATGTTTGAGATTTCGTCCAGTTTTTAATATTTTAGTTGGTAATTGTACATAATGAATCTTATGGATATATGCATCAAGTTGATAAAAACACTTGTGTGTATCTTTTTCTTGTGTTTGTTAAATAGAAGATTCAAAATGTAACATATATTATGAAACACCCTGTATTACAGAGAAGGTAATTGTTGATACAAAATATTCTGATTTTTTAAATAAAAACAGTGTAATTTTTAAGTGAAGTAAATTTTAAAAGTCGGAAAAGACGCATTAACCACTCTTATTCTTGACGACTACATAAATCAGACTGAATACGGTTTACCCTAAGCAACAGACAAATCGTCAAATTTTAACGATATCAAACTCATTGTTTGCAGTAAATACCTAACATTATGTAAAGTCATATTAAAGTACGAATATACTTATCGCCATCCTCCAGAAGTCTGTCAAAGTTAAAGTGTGTAACGTTGCAGGTATATACGGATGTGTTTGGATTTAAGGATCCTGGCTGATTAGGACATGGATAAGTCGTGCTATTTAAGCTGACAAATGCTTTGCTTGATGAGTCTGAAAAGATTGGTGTAATTTAAAACACATTTCAACATTCAAATGCATTAGAAACACCATTACAAAGAAATTTTAAAACGTACTTCTAGCCACTTTAGTAAGATCTAACTGCAGCCATCCACCGACGATTCCAAACTTAAACTCCTCTACATACTCCGGCTGGGATGTTATATCGGGTGGAGTGTAAATTGCCATGAAGTCGGCATTGATATAATTGTAGTCTTTCTGGCTCAGCCAAAGCATGTCGACTTCCGTAGAATTAGGCTCAGAAGAGTCCGTCATAAATCGATACATCTCGCGTTTTTTTCCGGTTCTCTCAATATTGGCAAGAAACGCTGAACATTTGGTTATTATTGCTGTATTATCAGCGTCAACTGTAATTTAGAATATGGACATTTATGTTATGTTAATATGCATACTTTGAAATAATCGTATATAATCCAAAAAGCAACGTTTTTTTTATTCTTTTTATTCTTTAAAGAGACTGTCACACATAGGAATATCAAAGCATATCGTATACGATTCAAGAAGTAACCTGACTACTAAACCCTTCCATTGTTGTTTCCATTTTGTTACCTTAATTGACTTTGTAATTAAGGAAGTAATAACACGTTTAATATTGAAGTGTGAGTTTTGAACTGAACATGCCTGAAACATATGGCAATGCATTCGCCAAACTATAAAATCCTTTCATTTCACTGTTCAAATAGTAAATTTTGAAGTAACTTGAAGTGTTGTGTATTATTGCGAAAAGTACAATAAAATTTCCCCTCCTAAAAAACGTTTTAAAAAACTTTTTTCCTCTTAATTTTCATGTTTATGCTTCGAATAAATAAAGCTAATGAAGTGATGTGCTCATAAATTCATCAAACAATGATAAAAACTTAGTTATTACGAACTACAGGTAACTCTGTCAGAGAGAGAGAGAGAGAGAAACTTCTATCAGTAGTATGAACAGCTGCATTTCTGAATAAATTATCATAAAAGATTGTTGAATAGACACTGTGAAACTCACATGATTTACATCTTTGGAGTCCATTTTGTCCTGTAAAGCCTGCTGTGCAATTACAATTTTCTAAATTACTGCATTCTCCAGGGAAGCAGGGATCATGGTGGGCACATAGTGCTGCAGTTATTAGATAAGATATGATTGTATTATAAACATAAATAATACAATTCCCAACCTTAAATTAATTTTAAATGTTAAACCTTAAATAATTCGCGAAAACACATAACACATGGAGTAATCATGCAGTAGCCTGAACATAATATCTGGTATAGAATGAATATTAGCTCGAAAGTACATCTGTTAAATAAAAACAATTCTTTTGAAAAAATATGCATAATGTATTGCACATACGGGTTTCACAAATATTTCCTTTGTATGTTTCTCTGCAGGAACACGTGTTGGGTGCTACACAAGTTCCACCGTTCTTACATAATGGATGACAGACAGCTGAAATGAAACGTTTTAATTAAGTTAAATGAGGCAAGGAAAAGAGTCATTCTCTGTAAGAATCAAAGAATTTAGAAAAAAAGTTGGGAAATGGTACCTCACAGATTTGGCTGATATTTTGCATGTAATGTAGAAACACCGTGTATAGAGCATATTTGGGGTCAATTATTAAATTTGAGTACCGGTTGTCATGGTAACCAAACCACCATTTTAAGGCCAAAAATACGGAGCGGCCTACTGAAATTATACCAACTTCATCTTAAATTTCTATTTTCTACATATTTTTTACAGGATTAATTGTTGCCTACTCTGATGGACTATTTGTTGGAGTAACTACTACAGATAATGAAATGATTCAGTAGTAGGTCATGAAAGAGTGGTCTTTCAGTGAAAAGTGTCAATTTTTTAAATTCGGAAAAATGCAGATTTTAGGCTTTTTATAAACATAGTAGCAAGAAAACGCGGGCAATCCATAACAAATAATAACAATCATTTAAAAGTACATTCTTTACTCAACAAAATAAAAAATTTCTATAGAGAGGTATTATTTCTTAAGATAAAATTAAAAAAAAAAAGATCGCTATGGAGAATTTGGATTATTTTGTAGATTCAACATTTGGCTCCTTTTTTGTATGATCTTCTTTCTGCCAGGTATCTTTCTTCATCACAGCCTTATTATCCCACTCAACTTGTAGCTTTGAAGTCCATGTAACTGATGTAAGCTTGCTTTTAGACACTTTTATTGCAATGATGCAGTATGTGTCATATAGAGGAATTTCAATAGGACTGCAATCCATTTTGACGCTTATACACATTACATGTACATGTATATTTCTCAGACACAGTAAGGCCTGAACAAACATTTAACTACGGGTTATACAAAATGCTACACAAAATGGGTTAAAAATAACTGAAAATATCCAAAAAAGATAGAAAATACTCTTCTGAGTCATGTTCTGCTCTCTACTTTCACTTTCATTTTCTTCGATTTTTAACAAAAGATTTCCGAAAAGGGATATAACTCTCGACAAAAATGTGTATAAATTTAGAGATTTTTACAAACTTTACAATCAATTTTTTTCTAAAATTAAATAATACCGGACCTCTCCAATTTTTTTAATATGTTCTTCATAATTGTTAAGGGTAAAATTTAGAGCATCAAAATATTCCACTAGTGCCTGCGTTTTTTGTGCATACTGTTATGTTCCATCCCCTTTTAAAGCATTCTTAAAATATTATTTGGCACTTATTTGAAAGTCCAAGATTTAATTTGCAACTTTCTTGTATAAAAAATACAAAATACAAATTATTTTAGGAAACAAATTTATAATGGTCACCTATTTTAATTAAATATACATTAATGGGGTGAAATTACATTTATTGGTATTTTCCACCAATGTACCAAAATACGTGACCTGTTGCCATGGAAACAAGACCAATTGATCATTTCCAATAACATTTTTGTAAAATGGGCTTATAATGTAATTATTTCACCAAGTTTCAACAAAATCAGTGGCAGTCAATTTCTAGCCCATTTTGATGCTTACAGAGAATGACTCTTAATAACTGTATAATTATGTTTAACATTGCCCCCTATTGTGCTCCCGCTACTATTATGGTCCTAAAAAGGGACCATATTTTGAACAATCATGAATCTAATATAAGTGGGGATATTTGTGTATTATGTTTACTGATTGCTGCTCTTGCTCAAAGGATTTCGCCAGCTTCCCCTACACTGTGTCATATATTGTAGGACCCTAAATACCTAGTGGTCCCACACTAGCCTCAAAGGCCATGAATTTAACCTTAAGAAAGTAAAACGAGGATTTTTGCATATTAATCTTTAGGTATTAATTTTCACTATATTATAATTTCACATAACTTTTCGAGCCAAGGTTTAAAAATTGACTATCAATATATTCATTAGGGTAGTTGAGAAGACAACGTGACGGAAAATTTGACAAAAGTAGAATTTTTGCATTACGAATGCAAATTTTGTTCAATTCTTCGAAGTATTAGGTTTCAGAAAATTACAGGTTCATGATCAGAACCTGAAGAATCTACTTTTATGGACAAAAATATAAATAAAAATAATATTTGTCTGGCCCAACACGAGAATATTGCTTCAGTTCTTCCTCTTTATTGTACGCATGTGCAGAAAAGTTGAGGAAGTTACCATGATGTCAATTCCATAAATATGTATGTCGGATGACCGATGATTTTGATACATGTACAAACTTCGAATTCAAAAAAGATGATCAGAACTTATTCCTCACTTATGCTTGCTCCAATCTTGTTTACACGGCTAGCTTTTAAAAAAAAAAAGCTGAGAGTAAGCCACTGGAATACAGAAAGTTTCTTTCATGTTTTGTGAAAATATATGATTTTAAAAGTCATTGTAATCTAAGTTAAATTCGCCTAATCGTTTTCTTATTTGCAACATAATGCTGTTCATAATAATTAATTAAGCATAGAATAAAATTTAGTTAGACTGCATCGTGATCATTATGATGAACTCCAATTAATTTCTCTTGGGTGAGGACATCAGAGAAAGTTCGTCTCAGAGACGAACAAAGCCACTAAGATCCCAATCGTTGAGCGTTGACAAATGAATGCATTTTCATTTTTACTGTAAAAATTTTAGGATGATATAGATTGTGATGCATTAAGGGAAGGTAGACTTTCGGTTAGATTGTTTTAATTATTATTAATAAAAGTTTTCAATCGGGGGGGGGGGGGGGTGCGCATACTGCATGTATATTTAAATCAATTTCTAAGTTTAGGCATCCATTTTAGTGTTGTTCCGAAAAAAAATAATTGCTTCTAAAATAAATTAATGAAAACCATGGTAATTTAAACTGGAAATTCAAAATATTTTTATACATGCAGTACGTATACACTAAAATGTAACTGATGATGTCTACCATCAAAGCAAAACTAGATTGACTTACTGGATTCCATCTCTCTCATTTGGGGGGGGGGCTGTCTATAAATCCGCGCAGGTTTTATACACGTGAACTCTCAACTATTGCAGTTGTACCGTGGTCAATTTCTCACCTGTGGGCGCGGTTCACGCGCAAGCGGCACTAACACGTCTATCCTTATTGTTTATAAAAATTTTCTGTCTGACAGCGGTCTTCTCATGTTTTCATAACTTTCATCATTAAAGTGAAAAGAGATTTTTTTTCTCTCACTGTTTTAGGACCTTTGTGGCAAGTGGATTATTGTACATGTGTGAATTCCGTCCCGTGCATCTCTTATGCAAAGTATTGACCGAGGAAGTCTAGAGGAATACACTTACAACATGTACAACGGCGATTGAGGGCATATATATCAAGTGTTAAATGTGCTCTACATCTAAACTCCTCATCTTCTATAAGTAGTACTGAAATATATTCACAGTATCATATAAAAACAGTACAAATTTTCCACTTAGAACAATCCATGTCTTTAATTTTTCGTCGAGAACGACGAAGAACAATGCTGTCTATAAATTGATATAGGTCGTGTCTCAGAGTGTGCGTGATGAAGCACGACCTCTGGTTGGAGCATTTCTTTAAAACAAGTCGTGTAAATCTTTTTCCCAGAAGTCCAAATTGCGCAAGCGCACTTGCAGTTTCATCCCAAGATAAATAGTCAGCCCACAGGCTGACTAATAATAACAAGTTTCACGCTAAAATTAAAAGACGCGTGACTTTGACATTGTTGACGCTGACGATAAGATACATTTGTTATTTTGCAGTCTTTTCTTGCTTTACAGTGCAGTTGAGTTGTGAAAACTTCACTTTATTCATATTTCACATAAATCTTTTGTTTTATGATACAATTATCTTAAAAGAAACACATAATTTTGACTCATTATGTATCTTTAACAATGAATCAGCTTTTCGGGACAGATAAACTGTTGCTACAAAATCCTGTGAAAAAAATTGAACTCTTAATGTTGCCTTACATGTATTGAAGAAAATGATTTCAATCTGAATTTACAGCAAACATGTACAAAGAGAGATATCGTCTCAATTTTGTCTTCTCTGGCCTTGTCACTCGAGAAAAGAAACAATATGTGATCCACAACACAAATGTATCATATATCTATACTTGGTAGGGGTATAGCCCATCATATAAACAAGCTTTATTTCTGTATTCAAATAATACCTGAGTCTGGAAAATTTGTTAAATTTGACCCAATGCTTCCTCAAAATTAGAAATTGTAGAAATGATATGATTTAAAACACAGACTGCAAAATGTCAACTTTAAAAAAGAAAGGACATCTAGAGTCAAAGAAACTGACCAGTTGAAAAAAAAAATTCAAAGTCAATATACTAAATATACCTTTAGAAATGCTTAATAATTTCTAATGTTTTCAATGACTTCTAAAGTTTAGCTTGATATAAGAATTGTAATTTTTAGTATCTTTTTCAAAGTATCAGATTCAAAAGTCCTACAACATTCTCAGTTCGTCGAAATATATTCTAAATTCTCTATTCTCCAAGGTCTATATTACTATAGCATGATGTACAAAATTGAAAAATTAATTGAAATAATATGCGAAAATATTTGTATGAAATGTATAAATGGAATATTTTCAGAGTTCTTACGTGTTTGGCAAGTTGATCCGCTATAACCAGTATAAGAACAGTCACAAGTGTGAGACGAGGTACATCTACCACCATTTGTACATGGAGGATTACATAGAGCTAGTAAAATATTTACATTTGTTTCATTGACATCAAAATCATTATTTAAAAAAGAAACTGTGAAAAAGAAAGATGCTTTCCATCAGAATATGAAAAATTCTTTAGCAACTACTTACCTATACTACAGCTAGGTCCTCCTTGATTGCCTGGACACTGGCAGGTGTTTGGACTGACACAGGTTCCCCCGTTCTGACAAGCTGGACTACACACAGCTATGAATGATGAAAAGATTTCCGACTACATTAAATATCAACTTCATATTAACATAACATTATCATGATATGGGTATGTATGCTTGGTAATTAATTTTTTGAAAGTGGAGGAAAATAACATATGTCATGTTTAAGAGGAGCCTAGAAACCAAATATGTGCTTTGTTGCACAATTCCCGGTATTGTTAGAAATAATATTGATATTTTTTTAGTCCCCTAACGGTGAAACTGTCCCACTTGGTTTTCCGCACTTTTCACCTAAACACTTGCAGACATTGAGCTGATTTTTGGTATGTTAGTGTATCTTGATGAGTTAGAGGTCAAGTTTGCATTTTGTTCCGCTTCATTGATCTTTGACGGAATTACGACGTTTTCCATTTTTAAGGGTTTTTAACAAACGCTTGAAGATATTGAGCTGATTTCTGGTATGTGACTTTACCTTGATTAGTTATAGATCAAGTTTCCATTTCGTTCCGCTTCAATGATTTTTGACGGAATTATGGCATTTTCAATTTTTAACGGGAACCAGATTACACTTGCCGATAGAGAACTAGTACATGTATTGCTAGTGCAATACTCTCAGAAAGCTTGTTTTATGTATATTTTGCAAGAACGATTGAAAATATGACTTGCTTGGAATTTTTTTGTTATTATATTTTTGAATGTCATATATTTGAAGCTTGATACGAGAGAGATGGGGTGGGGGGTTACTGGATGCGACATTTAACTCCGGACACGACATTTGTCCGGACTTTCGCCAACCACTTTTCCAAAGATACATGGAAACCATTTATGTCATCTGGTGGGATTTTTTTAATCGCACAACATGGACTAACCTTTACACCTGAATATCTTCTAGATTAAAAGATATTACACCTGCAATCAAGAAATCCCATGGGATTATGGTGGGATTTTCTCTCCTAACTAATATCCCATCATTATTCTGTGGGAGAAAAATGAGTTCTGTGGGATTTTTTCTCCTATAGAAGCAAAACTCCCATTTTTAACCTTACAAGGGATTTTTTATCCCATAATTTGTGAAATAGGCCAAGAAGTTCTATAATTGTCACTAATAGGATTAAAAGTTCTCTAACAAAATGATTTATAGAATATTTTATCCTACAGGAGAATGGAAATTGTTTTTATCTCTTTAATGTACAGGGAAAAACAGTCCATCTTCTTTTAATCTAATACAGTCAAGGGTCAAAATTATTTTTGAAAGCTTTTTGCCATATAATTCATTGCAAACTTAACATTTTAAAATCATTACTTTAATATTTCTACTCTAGCTTTATATCACTATAAAAAAAACTTTACTGTCATATTATATACATGCTGTGGTCTAGATATAAAATTGTTATTCTTTACTTTTATCAGTGTTTATCATAAACCTTAAATAGACTTCTGCATGGATCTATCTTGAAATGATTTCATAATGAATGGTAACTAAAATATTTTTGTAAATATCATTGAAATAGGTTTGTAATGGGTTATAATTATAAGTGCTGAAATACTTCCGACCTTTAAATGTATTTTATGAAACCACCTTCTCGGGTGCTCCTTATAGAGGGCGGAGCCCTCTCACGAGCCCAAAGGGCCCGTGAGAGCGAAGCTCTCCCTATAGGTAACACGTATGTATGTAAAATATATTGAATTCTACAGTAAACTATATTTTTATTACAATACCTATGGAACTGAGAACCTTGTCGCCAATATGGCGTCCATAGTCTTATCCATCTTGAATCTCGCGGCAAATTCCCGCTTAAACGAGATATTGGTGAATCGTAATTTTAATTCAAATCATGCGTTAATGAAGTTTCCTCAATTCCAATAATCAAAAACATCCTTACAGTACACATCCTTGTTACTTTCGTTTTCATCTAGGCCTAGCCTTACTTGATCGTCATAGACCCGACATATGACGTCATTCATTGACTGAATCAGCGGACACTGCAGACTTTTTAACAACCTTTAATAATTGATATTTTATATACGTAATCTCTTTTTAAAAACAGATTTACAACTTTTAATAAACCATACTATGTTTTTGGAGAAATTAAAATAAAATCGGTTTAACGAATTCTAGTGACGTCACTGTCTAGACTGCGTATTATGCACATGGAGGGGCGGATCTTTCTGTGGCCCCTTTCACCAGACTTTAAAGGAATTTATTTAATAATAAAATTTACTAATTACGAAATGTCTTGAGGATTATTCTCAACACACAACAATTAAGCTAGAAATATAATATTTTGTGACATAGTATAATTTTCCTGTTGAATAATTAAAAAAAAATGTTTTCATAGTGGTAGAATATCTCCTGAAAAGAATTACTGAATTCTGGTATGGACTCCAGAACAGGGAGGGGTAAATGATTTTAATTTTTTCTCTCTCTCTTTAATTCTTGTACCCTATTTGTTTTTGATTACCTGCTTGTTAATCTATACATTTGCAGGCGGGGATCTGTGTCTCATTTTTATTGTTGTGAATTTGTTTATTTTTTTTTTGTCCAAATTTTTTTTCATTTTTTAAAGTGTCAAATTTCTGTTTCCTGAAGTTCACCATCAAAACAAAAATCTTTTAACATGTTTGAAGCTCAAACTTCCACATTTGATTCTGTTATCAGATGCGGATCCAGGATTTTTTTCCGGGGGGGGGGGGTCACCCCAGTCAATAAAAATTTCCAACCCAAAAATTTCTTGACAAGCAAAAAAAAAAAAAAAAAAAAAAAAAAAAAAAAAAAAATAAATAAATAAATAAATAAATAAAATAATTTAATTTTTTTTTTTTATATATATAAAAAACTAAAATCCATTTCCAAAACGTGAAAAATACCTATTTCGTGGTGGTGGTGGTGGTGGGGTCCAGGGTTTCTAGAGGGAGTCCAAAGTCAATTTTTATTTGCTTCAGTGTATAGTTTTAGTAACTCTGCAAATTCCAGGGGGGGGGGGGTGTCCGGACCCCAACCCCCCTTTTAGATCCTCTAGATCCGCGTGTGTTATCTATAAAATTAGATATTTCATCCGAACAAACACTTCCCAGTTCTATATATATATATATATATATATATATATATATATATATATATAGTACATGTGACACACTTTAACGGATCAAATATATAATTTTAAAAAGGTTTAGGATTTCTAATTTTTATTTTAAAAAGTACTTTTAAAAAACATAGAACAGAAAATTTATTCAGTCAGTTGGAACCCATGGTGGATTATGATAGTATATAAAGTTTAAAATCATATGAGAAACACCAAGTTAAACAATTTATGATGAGGTTGCCGTTCAGTTTACATGAAACAGTAAATAAATATATACAAACGTATATTACTTCAATGTTGCAGCAATTAAACCGCATACTATATATATATATATATATACCTCTACAGTACTGATCAGTTTCCAAGTACCCTGATAACCCAGAAGGTAGATCTGTCTGTAGTTTGGGTCCCAAGTTCGTCATGACTTTATGTTTCTATATTACTGTCTTTAAATGTGCATGTAGTCATAAAGAATATCATATGATGATCAGGAAAGTCTGTTTATTAATTGTTGGACAGATACAAACGTTTTAGAGTTCTAGGGCCTGGGTAGGTCGAATCCTTGACTTGTCCAGTGCACGCTCTCTCTTTCCCCAATATACTATTTGTTGAGTGCTCTGGCTAGGCAACTCGTAATGAAACATCATAGTGTAAGTTTACTAGATACCCTTAAATTTCATTATTTGAATGAAAAGTATTTGAGGTATAAAAGAATGAATTTTTTTTCAAAAGGACTGAGGTCTTTGTTATGGTTTTCTGACATTGATTACAATTAAATTTTAACACTGATTTATCATAAACAATAAAAGATGGATATGTTCTCTTGCTGGCTCTGCCCTCACTAACGGTCGCACCGTCTAACATATTACATAGGAGGGAATTCCATAACCATGATAACTGAACTGAACTAAAGCACCTTTCTTTTTGACTTATTAATTGCGCTGAGGTGATTGTGGACTAATTCAAGCATTACGTATTAAACCAATATCTCAATAAAATGCATATAAATGAGACTAAATTGATTTAAAAGTACGTGAATTAATCCTTTCAGGTATCACACCGGTAATTGACCAATCAAAATGAACTTAGTCAATTGTAGTTCCATGCATAATAAAGAAATATTTTTTTATTGTGAGAAATTTTTTTAATTTCCCTTATTCTATTTTTACATTTTTGGTATCTGTGCTTAGGATATTTTATGTACTTTGTAAAATATTAAAGGTTTTTGACAGGAACTATTTCTTTCGGGGCATAGGAGGCCACTTCCTGGGGTGCACACAGGATGTTTATAAACACATTGAATACACGTGGTTTTGAGGGTATTCCTGTTTGCGGATGGAAAAAATCAGAAAATGCCGTGTAGGTACCCTATTTTTTGGTGTCGGCTGATGTGACTGGTAACGTTTAACACTTCCTGCTAAATATTTTTTCATGAATTCTAATACCTGATTTTTAATGATTTTTTACTCTATATAGAATTACATAGTGAAAACAATTACCGGTGTGAAGTTGAAGCAGACTGCATCTTTCCCTGTTCTTGCATCACAGTTGCAACAATGCATTTACAGAATGTGTAATTTTACTACGAATACAAAGCGCAGTGGAGATCTTGATCGGTATTGGGTGGATTCGTCTCGACTATGTGGATTCACTCCGGGTGTTTCGTTTCATTCTCAATAAAGTATTCAATTGTTCCATAACGACTATATTTTTCTACTTTAAATGAATGTTGAATTATT